ACGAACTAGTGCAGATTGGATCGTTGATGATGGGGTGTACTCATGGAACAGAATTTAATTGCATTTTGATTGCATTTATCTGTTCCTATAAATCTTATACTGTTTCGCTAAAGAAATCATCCAGCAGACCTAATGGAATATTTGGGGTTAATACGTATCGTAATTCCCAATGAGTACTGGGACTTATATGGACATCCCTATAAAGTCCTGTAGATTTTCCATCGAAATCCATACCAATTGCAACCAATGACTGGCAAGGATACCTAAGGAAAAACGTAGGAGAAAACGATAAAATTTTCATCCCGGAAGACCCTTGGCAAGACAGGGATTCAAACCTGGCCGAAATACAAAATCCATCACCCCCTATGATGTGTTTTTTTCTATATCGTTCGTTCTGCATAACAACCTTGTAAAACAAAACAAAAATCTTCTGCAGCTGGCACAATATTGTCGTCGTTCAGAGGATTTTTTTCCATTCAATTAGCCGATCGCATTCCGCACACTATTGTCGTATTGGACGATCTTACAGGCATTTGACCAACCGTTGCTGGAGGGAACACATTTTGGCCATCTTGACCCTCTGGACCGACCATGGTGTGGAAGAACTCTGTTGGCGTGAAACTATTCTGGGCGAAACCACGAGCCGCTGGGATTTTCGCTACGAATCGGACGAGATACACTTAGTTCCATGGTGAAGGCAACGGTAGTCGACACATTTTCTGTGATAATTGACTGCCTTTGCCTCCTACACTTGCAAAACAAGCTTTCATAGTACAGTGCCAAACTAAAATGTCATATGACAGGCTCTGTCATACGGCACTGTCGCCGAAGACCGTCACGAATGTATGTATTTTAGTTTTTATCATAATAAGAGCTGCTGATGGCGTGCTTGTGTGAATTCTGAAAATATCAAGCAATGATGTCCTAGCAATAATATTTCTGATCAGAAATGGTTTGATTTACACCGAATTGAGGAATTACAACTAAATCACACATGTCATATGATAGCTATTTTGATAATTTTCTCTTAGCTCGAATGTTATTCTACCGCTCGTGTTGTGTGAGAGAGACGACGGTAGAGCATGAGTGTTCGAATACAAACAGACTGTCGCGCACGTAGTAAAAAACGTCGACTGTTTCCACCCCTGCTCACAGCATTTTCCCTTGAAATCCAAACCCAATGTGAAGCCCAGTGGAGTAAACAAAGAAGTCAACCTTAGCAATGATTGGCAAAACGTCGACTCTTGACAGTGATGCCGTTTTATATTATGTTGATTGTATTCCACTTGTCAACGTGTGTGCTAAAGAGCCGAATAGTGTGCCATGCTGTGTTTCGGCACAGTGTGCAGAGTTGATTACCCCTTGCAGCATTGTTTGTTATTTGGTGCATAATGAAATACGAATGTTGTATGAGCAATGAACAATACAATGCAGGTGTTATCCCCAGTAACCACAGGCACGTTATTCCGATTTTTTGGCTATATACGGGCCTCATCAGTACTTACAAACACTGGTATAGCCATTGTCCAGCTGTACATAGCCAAAAAGACGAAATAACGTGCCTATGGTTGCTAGGGATGCCTCATCTAAAAATTGAGACTATGATGTTGGGTCGTCATATCATGCTACGGAAAAATAAAAAATATCTTTTCCCATATAGGATTACTTTAATCTGTGCATACTGCGGCCAAAGCCAAAAAAACACGACAATTACTACTTAAGGGAGATACAGAAGACACTACGATCCGAGGATTTGTGTTACAACAATTTGTGGTAGTAAGGGGTTGAGGATAATGGAAACACATATCCGGTGTTGTCGATACCAATAAAGTTTTGGTGCCCTGCTTCGGAACAGAGACAACGTATAGAGGCCAGAAATCGATGATTGTTGCCATTTTGGAATTCCAGCTTTCAGCTTCCGAAAAACTGTGTAAATACATACTGAGTTCTGTAAAATAAACTAAGTTTGTATATTTTTTAAACAGCGACAACATGTAGAGGTCGAAAATCGATGGCTGACGACACCTTGGGATTAAAGATGGCGGCATCCGGTTTGCAACAAAAATGAGATTCCATGCAATTTGTGTCTTTTCGTATCAAGGACAAAATGTAGAGTAAATTACATCGGACATTGATTTCCGGCCTCTACAAGTCGCTCTAAAAATACTCATATTCTAGGATATCTTGCATTTTTTTTTTTTGGAAACCAAAAGTTGCAATCTTGGATTACAAAATGGCTTCATATATTAAGTTCCAGTCTCGTTGTCCTCGTACCGGAAATACCGATATTGTTGGGTATGTGCCAATTTCCGGAAACCGACAGCTACCATCTTGGATTCCCAAATAACGTTGGAAATCGATTTCTGACTTCAGGATCTCGAGATATAATCTATGTGGGAGGTTTATATGCACATTAGTGCCACGAAGTAAGAGAATTGTAAACTGATCTTTGTCCAAATTCAAAATAAATTACATTTCAATCATACCTAGGTTCTCCATCTACTGCAGGAACTTATCAGCCTTTTTTTTTCCTTTGTTCGGGACCTAACACTACTGCGACCAGTAAATTGATCTATTGTAGTATATCCCGTGTCCTTAGTTTAGTGCATGTCGTATTACTCCATCACTATTGAGAAATGATGAAGTATTCGATTTTTTTACAGTTGCCACTCTTGCATTTATCGCAAGGATCCGACTCTAATTGAAAGGTCCCGCTATTTATACAAAATTAAGGTATGACACCGATAATGACCATGCATCAGAACCCTAGTCTTAACCACTTCAAACTAGGGAACAACGAATAGAAGATTAGGAATCACATAGATGAAGACAACTAACTCATTTTTTCCTTCTTTCAAGATCATCCTCGGTAGACAAAGCCGAGTCTTGTCACTATCAAACAAGGCATAAAAAGTAACAAGGACTAAGATGTGTTCCTTGGATTACTGAAAAATCCTGTTCCCCTAGTTTGAAGTAGTCAGGAACTAGGGAACAACGAATAGAAGATTAGGAATCACATAGATGAAGACAACTAACTCATTTTTTTTCCTTGTTTCAAGATCATCCTCGGTAGACAAAGCCGAGTCTTGTCACTATCAAACAAGGCATAAAAAGTAACAAGGACTAAGATGTGTTCCTTGGATTACTAAAAAAATCCTGTTCCCCTAGTTTGAAGTAGTCAGGACTAGGAATCGGTGGTAGATCTTACATCCCGTAACGTACCACGAAAAGGTGATCTACCCACGTTACGGGCCAACTTATCAGCATTAATTATTATGATATATATCTAAGTGTTATTACATTATTCCTGCCTTGGCAATTCTGTATTTAAAACCTGTTTTCTGAACCTGTATGTCAGTATAACCACAGACAAACAGACATAACACTCGCATGTTGTTCATCGAACACGCATTTAACGGTCAATTGAAATGCTTTTTAGTTGGTAGTACCGCCACCTGTGGCGCACATAGTCAATTCCCTTGCGTTTGACGTTTTCACACTACCGCCATCTGTTCAGCGTACTACCCATCACAGTATACTCAACAGATGGCGGTAGTGTTTAGGCGACGATGTTTTAAATTGAAAAATATTCAATGTGTTATGTCTGTTTGCCTGTGGTACAACAATTGACATCTTAAAACTAAAAACTAAAAATAAATCTTATCTAAGTATAAAGGGAATTAATCGTTGCAGTTGAGGATTGCAACGATGTTTGCCTGAAATTATTAATTATTTTGTTGGACATTTGTTCTAAAGTATCAACATTCAAAATTCTATGTACCTCGGTATTACTGTACCAGGGAGATAACTTTCAAATCATCGTCAGAACTTTGTTCTGAATCTTTTGAAGTGCTTTTTTCCTGGTAGTGCAACAGTTAAACCAAAATAGTCACAGCATAAAGCATAGCCGGTCTAAAAACTTGTTTGAATATTAAGAGTTTATTCTTCAGGCCAAGATAGGATTTCCTGTTTATAAGAGGATACAAACATTTTATATATTTATTACATTTGGCGGAGGTGATACTCCGAACAAAACAAATGGAGAGTCACCTCATCCGAGGTGACAATTTTCACTTCACTAGGAACAATGAGTCACCTCAACTCACCACGCCGCGCTGAAAGGGCCAAATATTTCTGGGAAATTTTCAAATCAAATTTGAAGAAAATTATGCCAGATTGATTAGGTATCTGAAGATGATTTATAACCTCCATTCCAAGAGTGTTATAGATTTCAATATACTAGCTTAGAACTTGAAATAATTTGGAGATCGCGAGCTAAATTTTTCTTCTTGACTTATACTGCCGTTATACGCATAAGAGTCCCACGGTGCATAAGGATTGCATAGGACATTGAACAGTTATGCGTATAACGGAAGTATATAACTGTGTTTATTTGTATATTGTGTGTTGTGTATTGTGTTTCAACAATAAAAGTCGATGATGCATCATATCAAAAACTTCTGACTTCAATCAAAACAGTTTTCCCATACAAACCTTATTTTTTGTATGGCAAAGTCGCATTGATCAAAAACGGGAATAAAGTTGTGCGATAGGCCCACCCTACTCTATGCAATACGTATATGAGACCGGCTCGCTCCGTACATAAACCTTTTGCACTTTTCTCATGATGTGTTTATTTTAGCTATTGTCACCAATTCGTGAACTCATTCTACCGCGCTGCACGCTCGTCCAAGCTCCACGGGTGCACGTACGGCGTTATGCTGATTAGTATTTACCATGATAGCACGTTTTATACTCCACCGTAAAGGCTTGTGACCCATGTATGCAATTTACCTCTGTCATTCTATATATGTATTAGCACGACACTGTTGCACGCATTGAACACTGTCGTGTCCGGAAAGTAAAGCTCGATTACCTTCGGCATCTATGCTGAAATTTGAATAACAATGCATGCACTATCGGTACAGCAGTAAATGATCGTTCCCAATTCAGTTTATTGAAAGTTTTATTTAAGATACAATATATAAATTTGCTAACTCTCAGTCGACAATAATTTCTTCCGACACAACCACTTCCTCAGCCATAGGCTCGTCTTCATCGTCCGACATATCCCCATTGTAGAACAGGACCGCTCTGGGAACCAAGCGTTCCTTGATAAAATATCCTATCTCAAAGTCTGTTTCCAGAAAATGTTTTCTTACTAGTGGGTCACAATCCTCCAATACCCTCATCGGATCGAAAAAGTTGAAAAACGAGTTCAGCCTACGTTCCACTCCTGGCGCACCCTGAGCAGTCAATTTGAATCCTTCCTTCCAGTCAATTTCGCAACCGACTGTATCATATATTTCGAACCCAGTAAATTTGGACGGCTCCTCATCGTTGGGGACACACTCCATCAAATATTTCTTCGTCAGCACCTCATTGCTGAAGAAATCGTTCGGCTCGAACTCAAACTGCAAGGTGAACCCCTCTTTCGGTTGATCAAACATGACTGCCTGAACGTCAACCAGATGCTTCAAAGCTGGCTCGTCCGCCTCCCAAATCATGCACTGCAGGACGGGTGTCTTCTTGAAGACGGTAAGCCAGAATTCCGGAACTCCTTTGAGCTGTGCGTCCGTGCTAATTTCAAAGTCCTCTGGATTTAGCAGGTCTTTCTTTATGGGCTGATACGTTCCGGATACGATTTGCTTTCTCTTCTCGTACAGCTCTCCGATTGACGTCAGGAATTCCATTTCCAGCGAGTGGACGTGCTTATGGAACACGGCTTCCTTGCTCATCATTTCCAGCTGGATTTTCTGCAGGGCTTGAATTTTCGTTTCTAAGCTTGGCGGGAGCATCGCGATCTCATGCAATTGATTGAGTTTTATGCGCAAATTGGACAGCTGGGGCAAAGTAGCTTCCGTTTTTGGGCAGGAGCACGAAGAGAATGAAGGTTTCCCGGTGATCAAACTTCGTATGACACTTTTCAGGAAGTAGATTTTGAGCGATTCGCTTCTCATGATGCCTACTAGGATAGTTACGAGCGGTTTGAATCAATATTTTTATGTGGAAAACTAAATGGTGTTCATAAGTATAGTAGCTGATGAAATTTTATCGGTATCTAATGCAGTCCTAATATCTTTTTCGCACTAACATATTATAATAATTATCGACCAGTATGATATCATCAAGATTGCCTTGTAGCATCTTTTAACTTCCTAGCAAGACTATAGTGTAATAATTCGAGAGATAGATACACTAAATGCAACATTTTAACTCAACAAACCTGTATTTCCAAACGAAGCATTTTAGCCATCCTAGTATAATGCTTGCTAACATAAAACTTCCTCGTCCTTTCAAATTCTCCGAATTCCTGTCTTCAAAAGGTGCAGCGTTCACAGCAATGTGCGTGCCTTCCCCGGCCCAGACCAGTCCTTCAAAGCAAACCCTCCCGACGGTGGTAAAATATATAGGCAAGAGTCGTAAAAGAAATCTAGGTCAATGTGGCAATATTCCACCCTCGCAGCTGCTGCAAGCTAACACATGGGTTGTAAATTTGGGCTTTTGTCCGGGATTTCACCTAGGGTAGCCACCCCAATTTTCCATTCCTTCTTTTAAATACAGAAAATGGTTAAATCAGAGATAATTCTCGATTTTACAAATATAGGGAAAACTCACCCTATCTAAAAATTAGCATGCGCTTGAGTGAATGCAGCCGACTTGAAGAAAACACCGGGTCTATTCAACTCGTCGCCTCATTACAATTTCCTTTCGGCACACTCTTCCTGTATATACCGGTGGTGTGTAGTAAAGTCGTTCGGTTAGTGGAATGATATGGATAACATCATCGAGCGGTTTTCGGCCATGATCCGATGACGACAGCCAACAGACGGCAGGGCAATAAAGGCTATTTTTAAAGCTGGGTTGGATCACAAATTTACAAAATGCCAGCACGCATCAACTAGGTTTTGAAATATAACAATGAATTGCCAGAAATCCAGTTCCAGGCAAGGGGTGTTCAACTCTGCACATCCCCATCTTCAATCTCAATCCCCCCGAGTAGTTTATCTGTGCCGAAAGCTGGGTTAAGCTTTGTGCCGAACGTGCCAAAGTGTGGTAATCAAGGTATCAGTCTCAGTACCCCATGAGTGTGGCAACCCTGCACTTATGACATTTGTGATTGTTTGTTTAGATTTTCAAGTCATGAACGGAAAAAAGTGGCGAACATAAATCCCAAGATAATATTCAAGGAGCTCGTTGCCGCTCATCCGCTTCAAGGAAGTGACACTCGAAATTCAGCCCCTGGAGAAGACAATTCTGTACCGTTCGTCATTCTGATAGACGTTTGCCGAAAGCAAGTATCCAACCGGCAAGTGGAAGATACATCTTGTCTGAATTATCATCATGCTACTCGGGCAATGCTACAACATACAAAACAGGAAGGACTCGACCTAAAATGTCCACCGGCGGTAGTAGCAGCAGCAATAGACCAGCAGTAGCTTCCCACTGTCAGAAGTCGTGGTTAGGTACTAAATTCGTCTAACTGACTATCCCTGTTTTGATGAAAGAGCGAAACTACATCGTCCATGCTTTAGAACTTTTGAACACCCTAATAAATAAACAAGAGAACCAGAAAACTGGTAAGATTTGTCCTTTCTCATCGTTCTCCACTTATTACTTTTAATCTGTTGATCTACATTTTCCTTCCAATAACTTCCAACAGTATCCAAATTTGATCCAGGATCTCGAAACTTGGGTTGCAGTGGTTTGATGACTACCTCCCTCTTGTATCTGCTTGTTGTTCCTTCATATTTTTTATCATTGCTTGGAAATGCCGGAATCGCATATTAATCTCCGTGAAACTGCTTCCGGTTCCGATTGCGTTAAATAATACCACTATTCAGATTGGTTCCTTTACAATTCTTAATGTTGCTTTTGCCGTCGCTGAAACTAATAGCTGCAAATAAGCGTATAGAGATTGCGAATGTAAAACGAGATCCACTGACTCAACCTGCCTCCACAGTCAATCGAATCTCCGAGATCGTTTAGCCCATGGAATGAGCTCTACGTCTAACTGCTTGATGAACCATCAATCGTACCGAGTGGTTCTGCGGGAGAAACTGCTGCGGTTACAGATACATCTGCAGAATGGTAGGATCGTTCGGCAACGGGCTGTTGTTGACACCGTACATTAGCACTGCAGTACTCCTTACCCATCCAATTGACTCTCGGTCCGGATCCTATGGCCATTTTGTGTGACGTGGTGACTGACTAATTCGTTTGGACTTTCCAGCAACGATTTGCAAAATGTCAACACAAAACAGTTGACATTTTGCATTATATTTTGTGTGAACTTGTCATCGTGTGCCATGATGTGCCAAACAGTGTGTAACGATTTGTTTCGGCACAGTGTGCAGAGTTGTTTACCCTTGGTTCCAGGCCAAATAGGACAAACACATAAAAATTTGGACTCGACCTTCTCCTATTTGAATTGAACTTTGTATAATTGTGTGTTATGGGCCATCATTCGCATTTTTGCAAAAAATCGACAATTTTGGTTGTTTTTTTTTCAAAATGGCGTCTTTGACATTTTTCAATAAATTGTAGCAGGAAAACACTACTTCTAATCGAAATTACGTGTGAGGCAAAGTTGGTTTGAAAGTAAAGTCTTTCAGAGATAAATATACACGGTAATTTATTTTTATTTATTTTGAAAACAAATTAAAACAAAATGTATTTAAATTTGAAATATAACGTAAATAGTGCATATAATATACACACTTAAAAATAACTATTTTTACACGAGACGTATTCCATCTTTGACGTAAATTATGGAACGTAAACCGACATGTCATGTAAAGTTAAGTGTTCCCAAACCGAAACATACGCAACTCGACGAAAAGTACGATTGATTGAATTTATTTTCTCGTTTCTTTCAACTGATTCTTATGTCATTTGGGCCGCTTGCATGTGTCGGTCTCAGGGCACGGAAATTTACATGACTTTTTGGTAGTGTGTATACCTCATGGGAAATGCAAACTTTCAGGGTATTTGAAATCATGGACATTTGAAAATTTTACGAAAATCGTAAAACATCAACTTTCGATCATATTTTCAAACTTCTTGTTAACAAGCTTTTTCATGTAATTTTTGCACAGATAACGATTAAGAATGTCTCAAATATTGTTTCCTAAAGGAACAGGACGGGGCAATAATGAACAGGCTGAGACTTAACGAACAAAAGAATGTTATATTAAAGCTAACTTGAATTGCTCACATCGAGCTCTTGAGTTGTAATGACAGCGAAAAATAACAGGAGTGATCAGGTCAACGACTACTTTGATTTCACCCCCTCTCGCTTGGATAGTCCCAGAATTGTCCGAAGTTCCTCAAATCGTCCGACGTTCAACGATTTAGTGAAGAAGTCAGCCAACTGGTTGTTGCTGGCAATCGGCTCCACCAATAGCTTACCAGCAGCGACATGATCACGAAGAAAATGGTGTTTAATGTCGATGTGTTCTCTCACTCTCCAAGTTCTTGGTCATACCAATGCATCAACGGTTGTCCTTGTATATGGTGATTGGTTCAATGTTCAGCTCACCGAGATCGCCTAGAACACCGACTAGCCATATCGCTTCCAATGCTGCAGCACTCAACGCTACATATTCAGCTTCACTTGAAGAACTTGCAACTGTTGTTTGCTTCTTGCTTGACCACGCAACAGTATATCCGAATACACGGAAAACAAATCCGCTTACTGATATCCGGTCGTCAGTATCGGTGGCCCAGTCTGAATCAGCAAACCCGATGAGTGGCACCGCTTGATTGTCTCGAGTAAACGTCAAGCAACACTCCATCGATCCTTTTAAGTATCGTACAACCCGTTTCAGAGTTGTCCAATGTTGTTGTCCAGGTTGAAGTTGAATCTCCCCAGATATCCGATAGGAAAGCAAATGTCCGGCCTTGTGGAAATCATCACGTACATCAGGCTTCCCAATAATTCACGGTACGGTTCTTGAACACCTTCGGCCACTTGACGATCCAATTTCAACCCGTTCTCCATTGACGTCCTTGTTGCATTGCACTCCACCATGCCGAACTTCTGCAAGATCTTTTCCAGGCTGGTTTCTTGAGACAGCATCATTCTACCATTTTGTTGATCGTACCGTATCTTCATCCCAAGAAAGTGAGTCAACTCTCTACAATCGGTCATTTCAAACATCACCGACAGTTCGCGTTTCAAGCACGATGAAAACAACGTCTTTCCCCCTCTTGTCGATACGGTTGTACGGGTGTAGGCAATACATAGTCGTGCTTGGAACGTGTGAAACCTTGCTTCAGCAGCGCTTGATTGAATTTTTCGTTCCAACAACGAGGAGACTGCTTCAGACTATACAACGATTTCTGTAGCTGGCACACCAGCCCAGGGTCTGCCTTGACGCCATCCGGAACAGCCATGAAGATTCTTTCTTGTAGCTTACCATGAAGGACCGCCGTCTTGACGTCCATCTGATGGAACTGTAATCCCCTTTGTACGCCTACGGCCAGCACAATTCGAATCGTCGTCAACTTCGCAACGGGCGCATATGTTTCATTGTATTCCAGGCCAGCCTTCTGCAAGAAACCTTTGACTACCAGTCTTGCCTTGCATCGCACATGATTTCCTTCTTCATCCTCTTTCACGCGAAAGACCCACTTCGACTGCAAGGGCTTGACACCGGCAGGGCATTCCACCGTCGTCCACACCTTATTCTCCTCAATAGATTTTAACTCGTCTCTAACTGCGGTCATCCAGAGCTGTCGATCTTATCGATCTTCGATTTCGGCGTACGATTCCGGGGAATCTGGGAGAGTTGAAATTTTACCAGATGTTGCTCTAAGCCCAGTGAAGAAGTCAAGTGCCGTAAAGTTTGTTTTAACGGGAGGATTGACTGCACGCTATTTCCAAACATGCCAAATATGAGTACGATCCACACAAGCGACGGATTAGGTGGTACCTTGTAAAGGTTGGTGACAAGAGCTAGTCTGCAGGGCCAAACTAAATAAACGCCAAAAGCGTTTATGAATGGGCACTTGCAAATTGTAACCTGAATGTCCAATTTCTAACATCAGAGCAATGCAGTGATGAAAAGAAGGATGTACAAACCAGATTCAGTTTGGCATGATCCATTCCTGGAATTCGCGGGATGCATTCAGTAACTCGTACAACCGACGGAACAGTTTTTATGAAAAAGGTAGCATGTTCAGTAACAGGCTCAAATTTCAAAGTAATTTCAAAGCCAAGCCAAAATTCCTCACGTAAGCCGAAGACAAATCGAAGAAAGAAATATGTATGTTACCCATCATTAAAATGATTTAAAATGCCAGTATTCTTTAAAGAAACCAATTGATACTACGAATTTTGTTTTGACACTTGTCTTTAAAATTCAATACATCCCAAATGACAACTATCGTTTTCTGTCGATAAGTGAGTCATATTTAAAATAGTCTGTTGAATAACATTTGGGCATCGTTGAAATTCGTCAAAAGTAGGGGTATTTTGGGAAATTTTCATATAATGTTTTCAACTGCAAAAAACTCAAAGTTGACAACACTGGCAAACAAATCCCATTTTTGCATTTGGTTTGATTGAAAGTTGACAGGTTCAGATTTTTAGTAAAGCTACAGGTTTCGTCGTTTTTAACGGTTTTCAAGAAGAAACCAATTTTCTTTATGGAACAAGGGGTAACCAACTCTGCACACTGTGTCAAAACACAGCGCGGGACACTGTTCGGCACGATAGAGCACACTTTGACTAGTAGGACAAGAACGATATCATATAAAATGGCATCACTGTTGAGTGTTAACGTTTTGTCAATCGTTGCTAAGGTTGACTACTCGGTTGAGTACTTTGTTTACTCAAAATTTAAGCTAGTGAGAGAATTTGTCATGTATAAAATTGGTAAAACAACGATTCAATCAAGAATTTACGAACGAAAAACCGGTTTCGAGTGATCGCTCCGAAAAAAAATCTGTAAGTATTCTTTGAACCGTGAATCTCTTTAAATCTACCAAAACTCAGTCCGTCTCATCCGATTCACAGCAAAAATCCCAGCGGCTCGTGATTTCATCCAGAACAGCTTCTATTCAGGATTGACTTCAATATAGTTCATCCACACGTCAGCTGAAACTGGTTATCTCCAGCGACCGACGGTTGGTCAAAAGCTACCTATGGTGCAAACTAGTTGGATCGTCAGTTTATACACGTTCGCAGTCATTGGTCTCAATTGATATTGGCTACGATGGGATATCCCCAGGACTTTAAAGGAATGTCCATATAATTGTGAATGAAGTCCCAGTACTGCTGGGGGAAGTCAATAGGTATTTACCCCACATATTCCATTAGACCTGGATCGGAGTACGATTGCCTTAGTGCAATAGTATAGGATTTATAGGAACGGATCATAGCAGTTAAAAATGCAATTACATTCTATTCCACGAGTCCGACATCGAGCATATCCCCTTCACCAGATCCGGTAATTTTGCTGATGCATCATCTTTCTGTTAAACTAGCTCGTATTAAGGGACCCCAGAACGATGGGTGGTCTACCGATTGGATTTGAGGCATTATTAAAAACTGGCCCGAGGATGTTGCTCCTAGGGTGGGATTGAATTCTCGCCCGTTCAAATTCTGAGTTACTTAAGTCGGTAATAATTAAACAGGGACCAGGTGGCGATTTCATCCATCACCGATCGGGCTACGCCTTCGTTTCTATATATCTGCAAGGAATCAACAGCAGGGACATCGAGACGGAATCTGGTGGACGGGTTGAACACCGTGCAGGATTGAAGGCCTCCACTTCCTTTTTCACCTTCCGATCCGCAAACGCACTAATAAGAATGAAGGGAAGCCGAATGATTGCTTTGATCCATCTGATAAATTGAGAATGTAAACACAATAAAAAAAGTCATCACTCTCGGGGTTGCCAAACTCATGGAATATTGACACTTTGATTGAAACCACGTTCGGCATAGCGCATGTTATCTTTAAAATTCAATATCTTCTAAATGTAAAATTTTGTTTTTTGTCGACAGGCGATTCTTATGTAAACAAAAACTCCGCTGAACATGTTGGCGTCATCAGATTTTGAAAAAAGAGTGGGGAAATTTTGAGATATTTGTATTTTAAGTTTTCAAATGCAAATGTTGCAAAGTTGGCAACACTGGAGAAAAAAATCTGATCATTCCATTCGATTGTACATCCAAAATCCTTACTAAACAATACCCAGTACCGTTTGTTTCTTTAATGGTTGCAGAGATATATAACATTGAAAACTGGTGTTTATTAGAAATCGGCAAAAAAGGGGTGGTGTGCAGCGGCGGGGGTGGGCCGATTGGCTTAAGACTTTGGATTTGCAACATTGCATATTTACTCGGTCACTTGATATGGAATGACCCATTTAATACTTAGATCAAAAATGTGCTTTTCAAGGGATATAATAGCCTCTTGGTACACCAAGGTGTACAAGAAAAGCAAAAAATGTGGGACCAGTTATTTTAAAACTTAACACATTTTCAAAAAAAAAAAAAAATAAAAACAATATTTTATTTAGTTGGAGATGCTTAACGTCAAATATCAGACTTAAAGTGGTCATTTGATACGATAGATGAGAAGATAAAAGTATACACTGAAAATACGTTTTCGTTATTTCTCAGAAAACCGTTTCTTAAAAATGAATATCGTATATAAAGCAAATCTTTCATAAATCGTACGAAACATTCGTTTTTCCTGTCATCTGGCGCAATGCTAATATTACGCCTTTTTAGTATAATATACAAATTTAACTTCGTACAATCAAGGCAGCAACTGCTCTTCTTGTCTCCTAAAGTTCTGATTGTGTGTTGGAGATGGGATACTTTTTTTCTTGAAATATGTCGGTCTGAAAAAACATGCAAGCTACCACAATAAAACGAACTACTGGTCGCGGTGGTTTTATGTCTCGTACAGAGGAAAAAAATACATGCAGGCAGCGGAAAAACCAAACGAAATCGAATTACCGATTAACATATAAAGCAAAGGATATAACACAGATCTGACAATCACAAGGTTCATGATTCGAGCCCGGTCTGAAGTCTTTTTTAATTGTTTTGTCATGTTTATTCCTTCCAATGATGAATTATTTTTACCCATCCTTACTACCACACTCCACATTTTTCGGTCTCCACAACCAACACAACACCCGCTGGTTGGGTGTAACGATAGCGAGTGTGACAGTTCTAACGAAACTAGTACAATGTACAAATCAATTTCGTTGCAGAAAACAACGAATAAATTCGTAGAACACACCAGCGATTTCGTTGCATAAACGAAATTTTATTTTCAGGGTAGAGTTGATAGTTCCGTTAGAGTACGGCAGTGTGAAAATTTACCAAACTCCCCTGTTGGGGAGGGATGGTGAGGGGTATTTCTCCCCGCCACAACCGGCAAAAGAGATGATCGCCGATTTGATCACGTACCTTCGATGTGCGATGTCGATCTGACGTAAGCGTCTAGTCGATAGGTTTGGAAATTTCTGCTATTGTTGCTCGCTTTCTATTCTCTATATACAATTTTTACACTACCGTACTCTAACGGAACTATCCCGATCGAGAGGATGATAAATTCGCAATCCATCAATAGAAAAACATTTACTTTGTTATGCAATCAACTCGTCTAGAAGCAAAATAGATCCATTAAATATAGCGAAAACGTGGCTATCATCGTCGGAGTCCCCACGGACTAAACAGTTAAATATCCTGTAAACGAATGGAAGCTAATGTAAACACTTTAAGTCACCCCCTTTCGCAGTGAAGCATTCAAACGAACGAACGACCGAATAGGCTCGGCCGCCCACGTGCTGCAATAATCTGTAAGGATTTTCACCTTGGCTTGCTTTCACTTTCCACGTTACATAATAGAGCATTCCTGCCGCCGACCAACATAATCCCCCCTCCCTCTCCATGCATTGCAACCGGGTGTTGCTATAATAACGGAAGTGGGTACACCCAAACTGTAGACTTAGATCTATATTTACCGGACTTATATGGTTGTTGGTGGTATCTTATCGAATGCTTGCGTGAAAGTGCTGTGGTGCCGCTCTTATATCATTATTAGGTCTAACGACAACGACAACGACGACGACGACTACGACTACGGTGACAACCAAGCTAAAGAACGTCGGAAGAGAAGAAGGTGTTTCTCGTTATCTAGATTGCGTGATAAGAAGAAAAGGACCTACTTCGAAGTGCCTCCGGCTGTTTGCAATAAGACAGAAGTAGATTCGTGTATCTTTAATAAACGAACACCTTGTCCGCGTTTTTCGGAACATTTTATACGTGCTTGGCATTTAATTCATTTGACAGAATGAGCGAGGAAGTATCGGTAGATCAGTATTGATTTGTCTGAAAAATCGATGAATTTAATTTTAGGCGTTTCAACCAACCTAAATTTAATTTGAGGTTCTCTGTTATCATGCTTGGTCTGAATCACCTTTTGTCATTATAGCATCATGTTTAGATTTTTAAAAGCCTATTATCACATATTAAATCAGCCTGCCCTCATCGTCTTAATGATATCGTCATCATTGTCTCTCTTCTCTTTCTAGACGCTTGTCATCTTGTCATGCTGATACCATCGATACCTTCACGAAAATCTTCCATCTCGCTTGAGTGACAGTGTTCTGTGAATCAATCAAATCAAATCAGTGTAGTGTTAAGAAACCCCTCTAGACTAGAAGCAAACCCAACAATCAGCATCATTCCCCACACCCAGCAGCCGGCGACGGTGCATGAGTTCCGGTAAAGGTGGATAGCCCTGGACAAAGCCGGCAACCAAACGCGGCATTGGAATGTCGTAAAAGCAAGCCGGACGCCATCGTAGTAGAAAAGGCAATAGCATCAGCATCAACAGCCACGGCTTCATCAGCACGGCAGCAGCCAAAAATTGCAATCACACAGCTAAAGTCGCTCACAAGTTGCACCACCACCACCACCACTACTATTAACACAACTGCAACTGCTGCTCTTGCCAGCGCCACCAGCACCACTGCTACAGAGGAGGACGCCACTTCGGGTCAGCTTGTCAGTTCCAGAGGAATATGCACTTTGAGGGTGAAGATTTTCCTCATCAAACATCTTTCTAAGCTAGTCGCGTGCAACAAGAAGATGTTCCTGCCAGTGAAATCCAATACGTGAGTATCAAATGAGATGATTGATTTCATAAACAATGAATCGGGGATTATCCGGCAAATACTTTCTGATGTCTGCATGCGAGATCAGGCATTCATCATTTGCAATTTAAATTTTCTCAATAATACAGTGCATGTGGGTTTAATATCAATGGCGTCAATTTTAAAAACCGTTTGGTACAAACTTTTATTTTACCTGAAAACATTTTTTTCTGTATCATCATGGCAAAAAGTTAGACTAAAAAAACTGCAAAAGTCGACCATTTTTTCATTTTTTGTTATCCTTATAAGTTCAGATGCATGGTCTTATACTTCGTTCAAATTTACAGACTATATTGCGTGATAGGGTAGGTGTATCCAATTATGACATATGGGAATTCATAGGCTATAATTGGAATACACCATAATATGAACGTATATCCATAACTGGTACACGTACCTTATCTTGATATCAAATGTCATACATATTATTTCCAGTGAAACCTAGCTGTATAGACTATAGATATTATCACATAATAAAAGTAGTAGTGTGAACGGGGTATTAGATTTGCCTAACTGTTGTTTATGTCAATGTTGTTGTCATTTTTACGCAATTGAAGAGTAACTGACAACTGTTGTCAGATTTTGTATCTTATAGTAGGCGTATGATTCAATTGAAAATTAAAAATCATAATGTCTAGTAATGAGGAGCATTGTGGATAAGTGCGCTTTCAGTGCTTTAAAAAAGCAAAACAGTCAGTGTTGTGTTCTTCTTTAATTTGAGATCCTGACTAGATAGAAAGGATTCGGCAATTTTATTCAAGTGAGCAAAATCTATTGGATGGGAAATAATTCAGTTCAAAATTAGCTCACCAGTAAGGACACTGTCCCTGGCATTGACAGGACGTAGCCAGGTGATTGGCTAACCAGATACCGACTGTACAAACAGGGCTGAATTGATTGCATAGGTTCCTATAAAAAAATAAAGACAATTTGCTTCTAATTTGAATACATGCAATTTTACATCCCACAGCCCTGTTACGTTGTTATAGTCTAAAAACAAAATTTATCGCTTTTAATGCAAAATTACTCGAGTAAGCCAACGATACCTCCACTGAGTTTTGTGTGAAAAACAGTCCTTCCTGAAATGCAGCCGTGCTTTGTAATATTTTATCATATTTCCTGCCATCCTTGACTGCTTGAATCTCAAGCATTACTTTTTGATCCTCGAGACAAGCACACACTCAGACATCCGCCATAGCGATGCAGCTATAGCTAAACAAAACTGAGCTTTTCTGATACCTGCACGGGTTGCATGATATTAAAATTAAAAAAAAAAATCCGCATGGCAGCGGATCCACCCTTTTCCAACCATTGAAAAAAAAAGTGCATGGTGGTAACGTAGTCCTATATCCATACCGAATTCCTCCTTTTTTGTGGTTTCACAGATTCATAGGGCACATGCTTGCCCACGGGCCTACTAAATCTGCTGCCTTCTCAATTATCGTTTCTCCTTGTGCCCACTTTTTGTAGACACTGTTAAACGGGGTATCTTTGATAATGCGGGTAACTTTAAGTAGAATATAAAGATTAAATTTACTCTGTGCACTACTTTAGAATTGGAAACATTGGTAAATCCATTTTGTAGCTTAGAGTATGTGTATCTGAAAAAAATCTATTTTCTTTTTTTTTCGCCTGATTGAAAAGGCACTCAAATAATCACTTATCAATGTATTTCCGATATAGCCATCACAAATTCAATATTGCTTATTGCTTAGGCCTGCCCAACTCAAGTAACATTGCAAGTTTTATCGAGGTTTTAAAGCATGCTACAAGTCTAAATCACGGTCTTCAGAACCCTTATAAAACCAAAATTGTTACTTGGGAACCTTTCTAAACCAGATTTCACTGTATCTTTGATCGATTAACATGTTTCAAGAAGCATTTTGTTTATTTCTCATTCATTCTGGACTAAAATTCATAATGATGATAAAAAATTGGCCTAGAATGATATCCTTGCTGAGATCCAAAGACCACGTCCGTCCCGCGAGCCGTACGTTTTGCAGAGCTGGCTTAGGATGTTTCTGATTATATGCTCATTCAAAGTTTTATATTTCTTGAACTAAATTGTTTTTCAACATTCATCGAATATTATCGAAGTTCCCCTTTTTACGGTACCTTGTAAGCAAGCCCTCAGAAGGGCATGAAAGTAAGCGGGAAAATTATGATTCATGTGGTGAACGCCTGAACTAGACTTTGACTCTCGCTTTTAACGCTGTTGACTTTGTTTCAACGAGATGAAAGTGTAGAGATGGAAAAAAAGGAGGGAAACTTTTTCTATAATGTCTGGTGCGAGTGACGACAAAGTTGTAGGGATTGAAATTGAAAAGTTTTTGATCAAACGAGCTACGACCGGAATTTTTGTGCATCCCAGCACCCTTGTGCCAGTGAGGTTTTATTTTTGGGTAATTTTGTTGGGAATTGGAATAAATTATGATTTATTACTAGAAGTTCGATGGGACGTGAGTTATGATCAGCTTAATAGCATCGTTTCAAAATCAATGATCAGAAAATGTTCGTGATTATCTTGCGATGCGATACAAGTGAGACAAAATAACAGCAATTCTTTATTCGAGAGAATTCAAGAGAGATGTATATACTAAGACAGTGTAGGACAGGTAGCATGACCAAAACCTTTAGTAAAATTGGTATACATCTTACAGATATGCAATAGACTGATGCAAAATTTGACTTTTTCGCTCCACAGTGCTTAAATGGTTTCAAATCGGGTCCTGATTAGCCTCTCAAAGTAACAACTCATTTGGTTAGAAACAGACTTCGCACAAGCCATTTGAAGTTTACATGTAAATTACTATGGGAAATCTCAACTTTTTGTTCATTACCTTCTAGTCTTTTTCCATATTGAGCTGCGAAATAGTTCGATAGCCAATCTTATAGAAAATTTTCTCAGCTACAACTTTGCTGAAGATTGTTTCTATGTAAAACGAGACAGGAAAAATTTATTAATTGTTTAAGAGATTGGTAAACTTATGACATGATCAAGCAGCTGCTCTGTAGGCAACACTGTATTTTGCAGTGTGACATAGTAGCCATGATTTGTGTGTCCTATTCAACGCCCCAGAAACACCAATGTTGCCTGCTGAGCAGTTGATCATAAGATCATCAGCGCATTGAACCATTGATAACTTTCGATCCTTGCATTTAATTGAAAAGTGGTCTTGAGCAAAGTTGTAGCTGGAAAAATTTCCTACAAGTACAATTGAAAACTTTTGAAGCAGACCGATATGGTGAATTATTAGATAGACATGAACAAAAATCTTGGCTTTACCATAGTAATTCCCATACAAACTTCAAATGGTGGTTTGTGCAGGATCCGATTTGGAATCGTTTAAGTATTGTGGAGCGAAAATTTCAAATGTTGCATCACTCTAATATGCAATCATTCACTAAGTTGCTCGGTTTAAGAAGGACCAGCTTTTGATTTTTTTTTTCCTTGACGGGTCCCACACCTGGACCCTAACTATCGACTCATCAACTCATGAAGCGGGGACCAACGGCTTTACTTCCCTTCCGAAGGAAGACGTGATCAGAGATGTTATACCTCAGAACATCGATTCTATCTATTGAATTGAGTGTTGCTAGAATGATGTTTTCTTCGGCAAAGTTATAGATTTAATACTACTAGGAATTGATGTACAAATACTGGTAGCAGTGGTGTTAGGTCCCGAACAGAGGAAAAACAAATCTATAACAGCGTATCTAGCGGTTAGATTTGAAATTTTTTGGCAGCGATTTGTTTTAAAAGTACTCGTGTTTCAGTGGTGAAAGTTTCGTCTTGATACGTGCAGTATTAAAAAAGTTATACTAGATGGAAGAAAATTGATCCTGCCCACCCACGTCGAAATATCGCGAAAAAGTTGGAAATTGCCGTTTCAACCGTTAACGCAAAAGTGTGGTCCCGAAGTTTCAAAGTAAACGTCGTGCCGGAACTTTGGATAGGCAGCTGAACTGGAAGGTGTTTAGGTCGATCAAGAGAAACCCAGGACTCTCGGATCGGGATGTAACAAAAAATAGGATGCCAGCCGTAGTACCGTCCGGTGGATCCGCCTGCGAGCAGGTTACCGTTCATTCCGTGCCTCCAAGCAACAGAACAAGACGATAAAGCAGAATCTAGTGACCAAAACACGCGCCCGAAAGTTGTACGATCGGGTTCTGACGAATGTATAGGATGCCTTCTCATGGATGACGAAACCTATGTTAGGATGGATCTCAGGCAGGTTTCTCAACAAAAATTTCATCTGGCCACATCACGGGGTGATGTTCCCAGGAAATTCAAATTTGTTTTCGCCGATAAATTCGCCCGGAAATTGATGATCAATTGAAGCTCAAACCTTTGTAGGGGTAAGAGGTGGGACCATCATCATCATCATGATCTGGTAATACCCCGTTCACATTACAGCGTATATATCACGTGATATACGCTGTCTTGCAATGAGTACTCATACATCTAGATTTCACTGGAAATCCTATGTATGAGTGCTCATTGCAAGACAGCCTATATTACGTGTGCAGCTGTGAACTCAAAACCAGAATGCGGCAGATGATGGTCGGAATTCCAAAGAAAGTCCGCGAGTTCATCCGAGCGCCGTCGGAGTAATTTAGCAATATTTTTATGAAAGTTCCATAAAGTAACTTCCTTTTGGCTAAATTACATTATTACGTCAAATCAATCCCAAGAAACACCTGGTTTTATGTTTTATAATTCTAAGTGGACCAGATTTTACTTGCATTATAATGAAAACTAATATTCATACTAATGTTGATTTTTTCTGTGTAGAAAGACCGAATATTTTAAAACATCTAAGAACCTTGTTGTTGTGTTATAAAAGAAATATTAAATATTTGATTTGGGATTATCTTTAGGAATTTCTTTGAAGTATGAAATATTAAGAAAATGTGTCAAGCCCGAAAATATTTTTTTTTATACTTCTCGATCCAGCATC